GCACATGTCACTGAGATACGTGCTCATAATTAAGTATGAATAATGTTTTGTTGTGCTGGGACTAATGACCCTTGCAGTGCAAAGCACAGAACTGCATCTCTGAGAAGCTAAACACCTCTTACCACTTCACTCAAAGGCACTTGCAAGCATTCTGCGTCTCCCAGGCTTGGAACATATGTTAGGGTTGTTTTTATTGCTAACATTATGAGTGGGTTACAGACACATCAATCACTTTATTCATTCATGTTCTTCTGGTCAAGGAAATTTTATTTATGCCCATTCTTCTGCTCAGTGCATCAAAGTAATTTGAAGATTTTACAAGTTTATGCTTAGCAATTAGTTTTGAAATGGTGAAATAAAAATAGGGAAGAAACTCTATCATTTCAACTTTCAAACTGCAGTTTCAAGAACAAAAATGATCACTGAGGTTTAAGTGAAGTTTCCTAAGAGGCGAAGCACTGAGAGATTAAATAGCTATATCTATGAGGTATTTCAATTCTCAGTTTGAAGTAATCAGGTTTAAGTAAAATGGCATGCTAATGAGATGAAGAATCTGGTACTCTATCTTGGAAGGTAACACTCTCAATTTCTAATCATTACCTGTACATTGTAACACAAGCAGGACCATGGCCTTTACTGGGGAAAAAAAAACAACTCTTGTATTCAAAACCATACCCGGTATGAGTATTTTTTAAAATAATTTTCCAGGCTTTAAAACCAAACTGCAATTATCTTTTTAGGGAAAAATATGACATACTTTTCCTCTTTCAATATTTACCAATGCACCAAAGAGTTGTTGTAAGAAAGGCTAATGGTACATTGAAGCCACAGAGTTTATTAATCTAGTATGGTCTATTACAAACCTTCACCAATAAACACACAATGGTTCAAATTAGAGCATATTTGAAAACATTTTCTACTCTAACAATAATTGCATCCCAATGAAGCATCACAATTTCAAATTACACTTAAGTCTGTTTTCTAAAGAGACAGATATGTCCATACAGTATGACTGAAATTTCTGACAAGTATGACAAGCTGATAAATTTTAGACTTCAGAGGTTAGCTTCCCTATATATGAAGCCCCTTATAACTAGACTAAAGAACCGTCACTAAAAATGCTTGCTTGAAGAAATCATTTGCTTCAGCTTATTAATAAGTTTCATTTTGCTGCTTTTATGGTTGTTTTTTTTAAAGACATCACACATGCATTTCATTCTACAATCATCTAACAACTGGCAATAAACTAGGAATTTAAACTTATCAGACATATGGTTCTGCAGATTGAAAGCTTTCAGAAACTGACAAGCTAGTAACAACCCAGATTGCAATTAAGAAGTACAGAAGTCTTAAATCAAGAGACTTGGATATTTGTGCTGCCATTTTAATTAGCAGATCCATTAAAAATAATTTAAAAAAATAAAATATCACACCATAAAACACTCTTAGGGTATGTTCATACATCAGAAATAAAACAAACTACATTAAATCCGATGTGTCTAAAAAAGAAACCAATTACAATTTACATTTTTTCTCTTATAAATTTCTTCCTTGTAAAGCTTTCATTTAAAATGCTGCCATCCAAGTTCCATTTCTAATAAGTACAGGGAACGCAAACACAGAAATCTCCAACATTCATTGTTCACCAAATTTTTATGAAATCTACCTTCCTCTTTTCTTCCACTAATCTCATATTTTTCTATATGGCAATTTATTTTCTAGGATTTTTCCAATGTTAACTGGTTTTCTTCCACTGCTTTTTGTCTCTTCATTTCCTCACTTTCTCCCCTCTTATATGATCAAATTTGCTCTTCTTTGCTTAGATTTTGAATTTCAAATTAATAATTTTATAATTGAGACTTAAGGCTAAATATCCCAGTAAACACCAGGGATATTATACCTCTGCTCGTGGAAAGGTATATATAACTTTATGGTTAACAAATTTTATTTACATAGTTAGGACATACCTGCAAGCCCTATACAAATAAAAGTTTGTATTCTTTGTTTCCACAGATTTCATGGTTAGGGAAATAGAAGTTATTCAATGTGACAGAAAACATGTCTGAAAATTATATATCTTCTGCCAACAGGATTCTTAAATTATTGGTCTGCCCTTCAGGAGCTTTTTCTTCTTCAGTATAAAGAAGTTTATGAGCTCAAATGTCTTGCCCTCAGAACATGTTATGTGAAAGCACAAAGAGACTTATATAACAACAGTGTAATTTAGAACTTATATCAAGTAGGAAACTAGGCAAGTAGATTTCTTTGAAAAATGAAGACTAAAACATTTATGGAGACTCAATGAAGCAAAATATTTCTTGAAAATATATTGATTTTCATTAGAATGTTATTGTGAAGACAATTGTGACTTTCTACTTAAAAATAATTGGTGGAGAAAAGCTGTATAACATTTGCCAGGTATAATTCAGGCAGAGAGCTATTGTTTTATTACTTGTTTTTTTTCAAATGAATAAATGAATATTTAATTTCAACTATGTAATTAGCAAAGAAGCAGAATTATTCAAAGATTAGATTTAACTTGAGTCATATCTCAAAATTATTACACAATCATATCAGCCATGCCTATAAAACTATTTTTGCAAGATTATTTGAAAAACTTTGTCTTGTTCCCCATTCCTACACCAGTATAGAACTATTGTTTCTTTGAGGTTTTTATCTCAAGAAAACAACTGCACAAGATTCCAGAGTTAAGGGAATACTTTTACTTCCCATTCATAATAAGCTTTTGCAATAACACTATGGAAGAAGATTCACAGAGCAAGAATTTGAGCTACACCATTTGAACTCTTAAAAAAAGCACCCCAAAAAGCCTTAAAGAAAGGACCTTGAAGTTCTCTAGAAAACAAGAGAAGTATTTTTTAAGGAAACACTGAATTTTCCATCATTTTTTTAGCCAGCACTTCCCCTCAAGTCCTCTGCGTAAGACTGGAGGAGTTTGTTAACAAACTCCCTCTTGCCCTACTTTAATTTAATTTACAAACTTTAATTTAATACTACAATCCTGAAGTCTGAAGGAAAGAATAATTCTTTCTGTCACCTCAGAGACAATTCATCTGCTCTTTGCCTGCGCTCCTCACTTTCCTTCCCTTCATATTCCCAGTCTCTGATGTTCCTCTATCATACTCCTCAGGGTATCTTCCTTGAACATGTAAGTTTTCCCTGGTTATGCAGCCATGTAGAAGAACTAATCACTTTTCTCTTATCTAGATTCTCTTTGATTGAAAGTGCTGTACTGAAGATTGGCAATAAGGCTATTCCCCACTCACAACTGGTCTTCCACACACGTTAACACAAAACAGTAAGTCAAATAGATGTGAGCTGACTCACATCTAAACAAAGTAACACAAAGTCTGTGAAAATATCACACACCATGAAGCTTATCTTTTTAGGGTTATGTTTTCACTGGGTCAGAAAAAAATATTGTCATTTCATGGTGATTATCTTTTTTCTTGCAAAGAGAAAGCATGACTTGTGCATGCTTGCAAATGCCCTTGAAGATAAATTATAACTGGCTTATTAATTACAACTGACTTCCTTTATGGTCTGCTTTTTTTTTTGTGATTTTCCCATTACACATAATTGAGATTTTAGATGTCAGCATTAAAATATTAATAAATCATATACGCAATATCTGAGACAAGGCACAGATCTTTGTGAACTTTGTGAAACATTAGATATGTATTAGTCACAAGTCTTCAAATGAACTATAATGAGTAATTTCATTCACCTAAAAACATTTCAATAATTTCTTTTAAAGAATCATAAACAGTTTTAAAAATTTTTGAAATCAATTTTTTTCTCTATTTTTATCATGTTCATACAACAAAGCAAACTGAAAAAATAATACACAAATCTAAGAAATATATTGATAAAAGGGTTATATTTTTTCAAAACACATCTGTTCAGTCCAAATAAAATTTCATTCAAAAGAAGATCATATGAATTTTGCTCTGACAGCTTATTTCTCTCTACTGACATACCAAGGTTTACCTGACTAGCTTGGACCTGCAATATAGAGAAATCTCAAAACCTGCTCCAGAAGTGTACCATGGGTATAACTACCTGAACGGTAGTGGTAAAAAAAAACCACAGTTAAAACTGGGAATTGTAATGTGTTATTAGTTATAGAAAAGAGTAAATAAAATAAGAATGTAAATGCTGAAGAGAAAGAGATTCATTGAAATGTGCTCTATTACTTCAATAATAATTTCAGTAGAGACGTAAAGGGACCATTATTTCTCATAAATTATATATAATCTACTCTTTATGTAAGCTTAATTTCATGAGCCAGATGTTTTTAGTCTTGTCAAACTATGAAAAATCAAATGGTTACCAATATGATTTAATTTCTGAATAAGTAGTATATTTCTGCTTCATTAATTCTGGTTAAATTTTGACATTAATTCCATACCTGTTCTGTCAGATGAATCTAGAAAAATATTAAATATTGCCAGATAAAATTTCTTATTTCTAGAACTTCCTGTCTTAATCTACTTCACAGATGACTAAAAGGATGATTAAAATTCTTGACAAAAAACCCCAAACCAACTACCCAACAAAACTTCCCTTCATAGTGTTTCCATGCAGAACAATGACAATTACAAAGCTTCCCTAATGCTAAACTACAATGATTAGGGTTAAACTACAGTGATTAGAGTATTATAATGATTTACAAACACTTTACTATTATCACCTGTATGAGAGCATGCATCTAAATAAGTTATATACCATTCTGACCCAGCAAACAGTGCACCCATCATAGAAGGCCAATTGTCATAACTTCACTGAAGTTCTTAGGAATCACCACTATAATGGTTTCACTTATAAAAAGAAGTTCCATAGAGATACCAAATATAATACAGAATAATTTCAATCCAAAGCCTAACACAGTATTTTTACTTGTAGAGGATAGACTCTACAAGAAGAGTCTCTTATAGGACTCAAAGTATTCAAATTTAGATATTCCAAAACTGCCTTACCATGGTGTAGTTGTGAGCCACCTTCATAAGCTCTGTGCACCCTTGTGCATCTGCAAATGCTCGTATTCCCAAACAGTTGGATGGGTGCAAAAGCTTCATTAGAAAATGGCAGCAAACCTCTACTACTTGGGGGAGCTGGAGAAGGCAGGCAGCTGCTAGAAGGTTTTCAATGGTGTCTTCTTTTAATTCCAGGCAGCCTAGAAAAAGAAGTATTGATAACAAAGTCAAACTTATTTACTTAGTATTTACAAAACATACAGTATTGAAACACATTTTTATAAATAATTGTAGCTCTATATAAATAACTCTACAGAAAAAGTGAAGAAAAGAAGGATTAATCTCCCTGACTGAACACCCCAGAGACCTGAACTTAAAGTATTAGAAAAATTGCTTTTTAAACTAATATTAATTCAACTATATAATAGGCATAAAAAGAGAGACTGTACTGTATCAAATGGAATAGAGGACTTGGAATATCTTGATATCAACCAGGCTGTGGATGGTTTTTTGTTGGGTTTCTTTCCTTATTTTCACTGAAATCCATGATAAAACTTGTGTTATCTTCAGTGGCACAGAGCAAACCTCACAGCCATTTACTTCCCTGAAAAGAATGAAATAACTGCCTAGTATAGTATGAATAAACCCATAAATACATCTTCAAAACAAGGCTTAACAGTCTTCAAACATTGTGTTGCTTATTTGTAATGTGACTTTAGGATTAATGCTATCTGAGTAACATATGGCAGGCTTCTCGTAACACATAGTTCCTCTAAAATAATTTATACTGGGGAAAAGAGCCATTAATTAATACTTATATTGCACTTAATTCTGTAATTTTACAAGTTGTTATCTTTACCTTGCAGACTGACCCACTTTTTAATAAATAAAAGGTAAAAAAGAATAAAATAAACTTTAAAAAGAATTTATTTTAGACTGGAATAAGTAATTCTTGTTATAATGCTCCTCCCAACCATAATATTAAATTTTATTTTTACATTAGAATCTTATAAATCTCTTATATTAATAACATAAAATCTTCAAACTAAAGATTACAAGGATATTTTGGAGAACTGAAAAAAAAAGAATAGGAAAATAAAATGTGCAAATTTAATACAAATTGTCAAAAAATACTTCTGATTGTATCGTGCTGTGCTCAGAAAAAATAATTTCTGGCTATAAGAGGATTAAGTGCATATTGATCTTTTTCTTAAAAGTATTATGGTTCAACACCTAGAGAAACTCACTCTTTTCTGCACAAAAGCGTGGGATTTGCTGTCACATTAGAAAAAAATCTAAAAATCTTAATAATTCTATTGCATGGCACTAAGGAGTTCTAAAATCCTCAATTTCACAACAGCATGCCATTGGAAAGAGAAGACACTTTATATTGCAATACCAAACCCAAAATACAGTAACATTAACACTGCACATCTGATCTTTTCTTCTTTCGCTATATCTGGAGCTTTTAATACAAGAGGGAAACTGTGAAGTTATACTTTACTGGATTTAGTTATAATACATCCTTTTGCAAAGGTCAGAACATCAGATCAAGCGCACAGCCTAATTTAAGTGGGTTTCCTCTCCTTATTTTCATTCTTTTATTAATGTCGCATGAGATTTTTTTTATATTATCTAACCTTTTCTCACAATTTCTGTACACCCCATCTTTATGCAGTGTGGTCAGAAGGCACACTCAGCAGCAGATTCTTGCTAACCCATATATTCATCAATGACACTCCCACATTTGCTGCATGCCTGCAGGTAATGGCTGGCTCAACACAATTCTGGAAGACAGTTCCACTGTGTAAAGTGGAAGCACTCAAAAGATAGTTGTTTCCAGGTTAAAACTGATACCAGAAGTAAAAAAATTAAAAATGTGGAAAACACCCTTGAAAACTGGATGAACTGAGAAATGGAAAAAAAAAAAAAAAACCCAAAAAAAACCAAACAAACAAAAAAAAAATTTCTAAATCTCCTTTTCTTACCTGATATTTATTTTTTAACAATGAGCTCAAAAAAGTCTTCAGCCCTACAAAATTGATCCAGGCAACATTTCCAAAGTGAAGTAAGTATAGAATGAATCACGTTCAATATGCTAACTTTATGAGGAAAGCTAACACCCTCATGGTTTGGCCTTTTTTATGGCTAAAGGTAGCTACACTTAGGAGAAGAACCCAAGAACCCAAAGGAATCAGTTGAAACCACATCAATCTATTTTTTTTCAAATTGAGATTTTTTCTGTTCACTTTAAGGTACACTAGTCCTGGTACAGTATTAGTTGGGAAACAATAGGATTAAAATAAGTTTAAATGAATAAAACATATCTGGTTTATGAATAACTTATTTATGTATTTCTTTATGTAATTAACATGGAAATTTTGAAGAAGATGATTCACATTTTCATAGAGGAGTGTGAACACATTTCTGCTTTACACTTTAATAGAGGAAGTAAATATACAACCACTTCTGGGATATCTAGGGATACGAATATATTATAGCTTTACTTATTTTTAACTAAATTCAGAAATACTAATTTACTACTTAATAGATCTATGATAAATGCTAGAAAAATACACTCAGTATGAGTTAAAAAGTTGATTTTTCTTCATTCTTTTAAATTCAATGATAGACAGGTTTTTAATCCATCTAAATGTCTTCTAAATCTTGATTATCTTCTTTTTTAAACATCAAGACACTTTCATAAATTTGTTCACAGGGTCTATATTCCCTTTTTCAGAAGAGTGCTGTGACATTTTTATGCAAATTCCTCTGGGATATCAAGTGTTTAGCATGGTCAGATTTTGATAAAAGAAAGCTGTTAAGGGGCTCTGTATATAAAATATGAAATCTTCACACAGTTTTATATTGGCAATTAGAAGATCCAAGCATCTATTTAAAAATGTTTAATGGGACATTCAAGGGGCATTAATATTACTGCTTCTCCAATTCACCTCCCCCTCATATTTTTATGCAATAAAAGCTTGCACAAGTGCCTTAGTCTGAGAAAAACAAATTAACTAGAGCTTAAAATCTCCCTTTGTATTACATTAATTAAGATGAAGAAATATGAGGAAAAAAACAATCAAAAGAACTTTAATGAATTCTAATTGTTATTCTAAATTATAGCTGTATTTGTGAAAAATTTTATATGCATTGCTTATGCAGAAATTAAAATGCCTGTCTTTATCATGCATTCTCATAACGACTACATAAATTTTATTACCTCATTACAAAATGTGAAGCAGAGATAATATAAGAATTCTCTGATATTCTTGTTCTGTTGCTAAACTATTTCCCAAGTTCAGGGACAGTTATGCCTTGGAGTTGGTTTGTGGGGTTTTGTTTGTTGTTGGTTTTTTGTTTTGTTGTTGTTTTGGGGGTTCTTCTGTTTGTTTTTTTTGTTTGTTTGTTTGTTTTGGGTTGTTTTTTTTTTCTTTTTTATTCTCTCTTCCACACTATTGACTATACTTTAGAGCTATTTTGGTTTACAGGGAATCACTGCACCTTTGCCCACCTTTGTATGATGTTAAATAAGGTCAGTTTATATAATAGGAACAGCCTCCCACATGTATTGACCAACAGATTGGACCTGTGGTGGGATAACTCAGTAGGTACAGGTCATTTGCTCTGTGTATAAGCAATGAATTTTAACCTAAATTTGTAACACATCATAATATCATTTTACATCATGTTCACAGTAGTTTTTTTTTCTCTTTTGTAATTACACACTTACCCACAAGACTCCTCAACATTCTTAAGTGTTGTGTGTACAAGGGAAATCATGGGAAGTGTCAAGGAATTAGAAACAAAGGCTAAAACCAATTCCTTGAAATCAGGTATTTATCTTTTTAACCTTTCTATTTCATGTGTCTTGACCAGCTGTGTGGCAGTTTTGAAATGTTGTTGAATGAAATTATTTCTGGAGGGTAATCCATTAGAGGAGGCTAATCCATTTTTAAAATTTAAAAAAAAATTAATTATTCTTTAAAAGGCAGTAATCGGTATCAAGATAATATTCAGTCATCTTATGCATAGTAGATTAACTGACTACAATAAGAAATTGGTTTCTTGAAAAATCATCTAATTCAATTGAAGACTTGAAAAACCTTATTAAAAAGGTTCTATGCCTCACACACTGCTGTAATAAACCTTTTTGCCATTGCTTATCTTAATCATTCAAAATCTTTGGTACTCTGAGGTAACCACCTGACCTAATCACCCAAGATCTCCTTTTACAGTTCACAGAGAGAAATAGGAAGCCTTAGAGCAGTTTTCACCTGCTCTGTTTCAGTCATGTACTGCAGAATGAGATGAATCACTCCCTGAATGGCTATTTCTTGATTTCAGCTACAAAATGAGCACCTTCATTTGAGTTACTGAGACACTACTGATATTCATATTTGTTGACATGAATTCAGTTGCTCTGCTCCCAAATACAGCACTGGAATCATTAGAGGCATCAGGTTTCAGGGGATGAAACACTCTTTGGGTTCAATTCTGATGATCACTTCCCTCTGTTATGGTCAATTTTTGGTGGTGACATAGTGTGTAAAATCACCTCTTAAAGTCTATCCACAAGCACCAGTCAATGAAGAATGCTATAAAAAGTATTGTCTGTGTAGAAGAACATCTTTTAGTCTCCAGTTTGACCTATGCCTTAAAAGATAAATTCTATATTGTATTGTCTTCCATACTTATTATAAAGGTGAAGATGTTTTCAGAAAAGAGAACAGGACACAATATATTCACTTAGCAGAGGTGTCTTCTGATCAAACTGTGTTTCATTTTCTATTAATTATTTGCTGCAGACCACATTCATCAGTTGTACTTGAGGAAGAAGCCACTCTATGGCTAATTGTGTTTATTTGGAATCACAGAATGGTTTGGGTTGGAAGGGACCATAAAGATCATCTACGGGACAACAAATGGGGAACAGAACAGAGAGCACAGAGCAGCTTATGGAATGGGTTGTTCTGGCTTTGGTGGGATATAGACCCTGGGAAATGGTCTACACAGATATGAAAAAGAAATGGGAAAAGAACTGTATTTGTAACTATCAAGGTGTTTGAAATTATGTAGTTTTGTAAGGCTGCCAAGTTATGTGAACAATAGGCTATCTGCAGCTAGTGGAAAATTTTTGCTAAAAGCTGAAGCTGCCTGGAGCTGAAACAGTATAAAACTGCCCTGTGAGAACAAT